CTTTGGCGAATGAATAGTAATAATAATAATAATAATAGAGATAGAAATAAAGTGATAATTATATCTAATGAGATGTCAATTAACAAACAGATTGAAAAACATAATAACAATTATGGATTAAATGAAAGGCTTTTTCGTTTAAAAACTAAACGCTTTTCAGACAATCAACAAAATTAAGGGAAAAAACTACTGACAAACAACAAAATCAATATCTCATATCATAATTATAACTGTAAGTCTGTATACAAATTACATGAATATATTTATAAAACATGTGTTCAATCATTAATTATATATATTTTAAAATCACAATTTAGACCTAATTTATTAGATTAGACGCCAAACCCCACAACCCTTTTTGCCGATTGAAAAAAAATCAATTGAATACTAGAGTCCAGTCTCGGAGTGATATAAAGGAAGTTTTAACCGCAAACCGGTGTCACTATCGCTGGGCTCGTCGGCCATTATGTAGTTGTCTTTGCCGTTGATCTTCAGGTCGTCGGTGCTATCGTTGCTGTCGTTGTCGGCGTCGTATCGGAGCGGCACCTGACTGTCCGTATGCTTAGGGCTGTGGGTCTCCATCCGATGTAATTGCAGTTTAGGACCCCTAAGAGCACACAATTAATCAATCATTAATTAATATTATACCAATTGATGGATTCAATGGACACATACCAGTCAGACGTGGGACGCATCAACACTTTTATGCGCTATAAGCAAATTGTTAAAACAATAAATTTAATATCATAATGGTTTTAAGTGATAAATTATTAATGATAAAAATAAACTCGATTTATGAGCAAAACAGTATAGATATGGTTACTGAATTGCCGCAAGGGTAAATTAAATTAATTATTAAGTAAAATATGTAATAAATTTAAATAAATATTTGTGTTTGAATTTAAATAAACAAAATAAATGTCTCACATGAATGATAGGACCCCGGAGTTCATTGATTTTCATGATGGCGACCAACGGTATGGCCGACACGGATATTAGCGATAGACCCCAGCCTATGACGGATGCCCACCACGGGTACACATAATCGCCATAAGAGGCCGGTTTCATCTCCAGGAGCGAGAAGAATAATATAAACTAAAAACAACAAATATCAATGTATTTATAACTTGTTAACATTAGATATTTTAATTTGTTATCAATCCATACGATAATAAGTCCGGGACAGACAAACTTCCAGAGCGTACGCCAGTATAACCGGTGAAACGGATAGTGGCCTAACATTATCTTCATGTCGTCCAAAAAGCGATCAATTCCGTAGACCCACGCGATGGCCACCACTTCCACCAAACCGATGATCAGAGCGGAGAAACTGTACAAACATTCACAACGAGATCATAACAAACATATTAGACACCAACCAATTGGGATCAGGGATTAGGCGATCCAACTATGTAGAGATAATGTACCTGGCGCAATGGTTGTCCATGAGCTGAAGTATATACATGCCGGCCTTCGTGCAAATCAATAGCCCGGTCAAAAACATAAACATACAGGTACAGGCCAACACAAACGGCTTCCGGTGCCGGAACTTGTCGGGCCACGTGTCCACTATCGTCGTCACTACGGTCTCGATTAGTGTGAACTGAGTGCCCAAACCCAGCGTCAATAGCATGAAGAAGAACAGTATAGCCCACAGGGGAGAGATCGGCAATCGGGACACCGCTTCCGGATAGGCCACAAACGCCAGACCCGCTCCTAATCGTAAAAATTACAATGAGTTAAATTGTAATCTAGATTGTTTTTGCCCAGTGAGTGTACATACCCTGAGCCGCCACTTGGCTAACACTGACACCCATTTCGTTGGCCATAAAGCCGATGATACTGAAGATGACAAAGCCGGCGAACACACTCGTGCCACAGTTGCCCACCGATATAAATATGGTGTCCCTAAAGAAGTTGTTGTGGAAGCGATTGTAACTGGCCAGCGTGATCAGACCACCCCAACATGGTGATAGCGAGAAGAATATCTGCATCGCGGCGTCCGCCTATTTTTAGGACATTATATTATTATTAATTTGAAATTATTTTGTTTTTTTAATTATATATTTAGTCGATTTAATAATACCCTAATCATAAGCTAAATTCTCGGACAAATAAAAACACAGTAAACTCTCGTTTAATTGATAGATACTTATATAACTCAATGTCTGATTTGGTGGCACTAATTTAAATAATTAATCTACTGTACACATTGATTATAGCTACAAACTAGCCTTGTTCATAGTTTATATTGCGAGAGTTTAATGTATTTTTAAAAAATCAATTGCATAAATGAAATTAACGTGTAATTAAAATGATAATTAGTGTAATGTATGTGATATTTGATGGTATATTTGTCTATTACCAGAAAGCTATGGAAGTCTAAAAGGGAAGTATTGTTTTTACCCAGACTTGTGCCTCTTTGAGTCGATACCATTCGGGTGTCAAATAATATCTGATACCCTCAGCGGCGCCGGGAAGGGTCAGCCCCCGGATCAGCAGAATTGTCAGCACAAAGTAGGGAAACAGTGCCGTAAAGTAGACCACCTGTTGGTGTTGTCATTTGAATATTGGTTATCAAAAATCAAACACGAGATAAAATATAAAAATACAAATTAATTAATTACATGTTTGTTAAATTTGAATTATGGTAAACAGGTATAAGACATGTGTTGAACTGAATTTGATACTCACTTTACCCATACTTTTGACGCCTTTGAACAGACATAAGAAGACAATGAGCCAACAGATGAACAGACAGAAAGCCAACTCCAGCCGAACGCCACCCAAATCGTGAATGCCTTCAGTTATGCCCAAAACAAAATTGCTGTCAAAAAATAATCAATTGTTAGTAAATTAGTAATAGTAAAAAGTTTAAGTACTTTATTCACAGTCACCACATAATAGTGGCCACACGTGTATATAAGTAATAATAATTACTGGAAATATTCATCGGATGGCATCTTCACGTTTTGACTCCTCAACAGATCCCAGGATTCGTCCGGAATATCGCAGTCGACGGGTTGGCCGAGAGTTATCATATCCTTCTGGATCAAAGTGGCCGGATTCAGACCACCAGTGATAACACTACTGCTATTATGCACGTACTGGCACACCCTGGTCACACACGAGCCGTTGAACAACATGGTCCCCATATGGGCCGTACAGTTTTTCGTGTCAAACTTACGGCACGCTATATATCAAACAAAATGCAAAAGTAAAGTTACCGTAATGTAAAAATAAAATAATGATTAATCTGTTATTAATACCATCGGTGTTCCACCAGTTGTCGCATGAGCTCCAGGGGAGTGATGTGGTGAATGAGCTGACCAGATAGAAGAGACCCCACGCCAGGATCATGTTGTAGTAGATGGACACGAGGCCCGACATCAGGAACATGGCGTAACCCAAGCCCTGGAAAAGTGGCGCCACTTTCCATATGGTTATCGGGCCTTCGCTCGCGTACTGACCAAAGCCCAGCTCCAGTAGAAACAGCGGTAAACCCACGAACAACAGCATAATTGTGTACGGAATGAAAAACGCCCCTGATTATAAAATAATACCATATATGACAATTTTATGTTAGAAGTTGTTGGGTAGGGTAGGGTAGACTTACCGCCGCCATTCCTGTATACGAGATATGGAAATCGCCAGACATTACCCAAACCGACCGCATAGGATAGACAGGACAACAGGAACTCAAAACTGTTAGACCAGTTTCCGCGCTCCTTATTCTCGTCAAAGTCGGGCGATTCGCTGATTACCAGCGATGGTATGTCCGACTGTGCGGTCGGCACCGCCACACACCTGATCTCCTGTGTTATCAATGCAACAAAAGCGTTAGTAAATCGTCGTTAATATTGGCATTAATTATATAAATATTATGTTAAATACTTTAGAGGGAACTGATTGTTTAGATGATAATCGATTGATTAGTTCACTAAACCGACCCGTAATCGCATCGACAATATTTGTCAATTCATTTCTAACTCTCTTATCAATCATTTTTTAATTCACTGACTAAGATATTCTTATAAGTAATTGCAACTTAGAAATTATAGAATAGCTAATTGTGAATCTAATTAACAACTAATTAAATTATACTCAATGCTAGTAATGCAACATGTTTGAAACTAATTTGAAACTAAAAGGTGACAATGTTTTGTATGTCTTTACAGCGCGATTAGCGGATTATTTATTGAACTAAACAACCGATGAAGGGTTGGGATGAAATTGTGTGGGGTATGTGATGGCCCATTGTATTGTGTGACCTATCATTATGATAAAAATGTGCTTAAATCTACATTTATGCAAGTGTGAGAATAATTCCCTATTTATATTGACTAAATTCCTAAAAAAATATATAATAAATAACTATCATTTACAGCATAACTAACGATAAATAAGTAGAAAATCTAACAATCTAACTAATTCTAGAATCTAAAATCTAGATAATAACTATGTAACTCTAATTGTTTAATTCTACTTAAGGTGTAAGTAAAGTACTTTATAAACTAATCTACGCTCATGAATTGTTTATTTGTTTTTGTGTTTATGTGAAATTGTCATGGATAGTTTAAAAATAATTGGTTCATGATGGTTGCATGATTTTTTACACTAACCCTTTGCATTTGAATTTTGCACTTTTAAAAACATATGCACTTAAAAATGCCATCAATAATGAAGTGGTTATTTAGAGAGTATTTTGTGAATTATTTATTTGAGCGCATATGTGTGTGTGATATTTATTTTCTAAAATGATCATGGTTGTTTCTCACTCGGATTCTTACAAATATTAGATCTTAGAATGTAATCTTAGTTATTGAATGGCAGTAAAATTCATATTAAAAATATGGTAATTTGTTTGGTCTCAAAAACTTATCCAAAATATGTGTTTGGATTTTGAGAAATATTAATTTATTTCTCAATAGTAATCCTTCTCTCTCTTAATGTCTTCCAACAATATCTGCTATAATAGTGACTAAACATAATTGTTATGCAATTAGTGGTCAAATAATGAGAAAAAATGTAAAAATTAAATTCAAAAATTAAAATTAAATCAAACATTTGCTACGGATATGACACTTAAGCATAAACTAATTCAAATGGTTATAACTAAATCACTATCCCTTCCCTTCCCGATCCCCCATTCCCGTAGTCCCGGTCGTCCCGCGAAGGCTCACAATATTTACAAAGTCTAGTTATTTGTTTTGTGTTTATTATTATTTTAATTAAATTTATATGTTTTTGTTAATTAAATAAAATGTTTAATTTGTATTTGTGTTATTTTTATGTTAGAATAAATTATTGTTATTATTATTACAGACAATTACATATACTGTTTGTTTCAATGACTCGTGAATACAATAAATTAATTTAATACAAATTGGGTTTTAATTGCCATAAAAGCGACGAAAACACTTTTATAGCACTTTTTCATACAAACATTGAAAATCTTTTAGGTTTTTAGACAATTTGCTCACAATTTTAAGCGCAAACGAACAAAATGTTCAAAGATTTTATTATTATTGAGTGAAAATTTTATATAAATTATAGATTTTCCTTTTATTATCAATTTAATTAATAAAATTGTTTTTATGTTTTAATATTAACTTTAATTTTCTGTATTGCTGTTAAAACTACCTCATTATTCCCACTTTAATTAATTTTACTTAGAATTTACTAGAATTGCTTGGAAATTTAATTTATATAAAAGTAAAACTTCATTTTTATTATTGCATAAAAAGTTATTTACAACTGTTCATTCAATGTCTTGTTTGTCACTTCTTGTGATGTATGAAAATAGCATTAATAATAAGCAATGATTTGATATTTTTAGTATATTTCTAATGTTTTGTTGATTACATACTAATTGTGAAAAAAAATACAAAATAATTTTCATTGAAATTCAATGAACAGAGCATTTAAACGTCAATTAGTTTGTGTTTTTCTGATGAAATTCTTGTCAATAATTTCCAATCACTAAATATATTATTAGAATATTTATATTCTAGTGTTTTGTTATTGAATGGTTGTGTTAATTATTGTCACTGCCATTAACCCAATGATTTTTTGTTGGGTATCGACCAACAAAACCAAACAAAACCCAAATATTGAACCCATTAACCAGATTTAGCGACAAGTTTTGACCCAAATTTTAAAATGCATTTTTAATTTACACTTTCAATAGTTTTAATATTTCAGATAAAAATATAAAATCAATTTTTTGTTTTCCAAAATCTGTGTTTAATTCAGTTTTGTTAAAAATTTAGTAATAAAAATGTTTTGCTTAAAGATCAAGGCCTCAGATATGGGATAATTTTTTTTGTTGAGAAAATTCAATGAATTAAAGGCTTTTCTCATTTTGGAGAAACACATTATACATGTATATCTGGAGATAACAACTGTTTTTAATGTCTTTTGGGATAAATATATTATAAATTATTTAATAAAAGCTTGTTTTTACGTCAATAGTTATGCCATTAATAAATGTTTAATAATATTGAGACTATTTTCAGATGTTATGTTGTCTGCGAAAAAGGGTTATGAAAATGAAAGTATGAGTGAGTGATGGAAGAGAGAGAGAGAGAGAGAGAGAGAGAGAGAGAAAATAACAGCATTTTATTGATGTATAATAAATCTTCAAATGTGTTTTAGAGGGCATTTTCATGGATACTATAATTGAATCCTTGATTTAAGTTTTTCTGATGAAACACCCGTATTTTCACCACAAATAGCAATAATTCAATATAGATTTGAATTAAATAATATATATTTAATGTTTTATTTATTTATTCTCTCATATATTTCTCAGAAATCTATTGACTTTTACTAGAATTACATAACTATATAAATATTGCATTAATTATTCGATAAAATCTTAATTTAACTTATTTGTTTAGTGAAAATAGCATTTTGTCTATCACTTAAGGCAGTGGTTAAAAGTTAAGGTTATGAAATACAAGGGGTATACCCTTGTGACAACTCATATCCCCCTCTGATTCCTAACCAAAACACACGAATGTTTTAATTGAAATTATGATCATATCGTTGTAATAATGTATTTTATTAAGTAATTTATTATCCACTTTATAACGTCAAGCGTATGACTTGTATATGATATGTATATAAAAACAAAATAATTATATAAATATAATTTAATTAAAAAACAATTTTGTAGATCAAGTGATATGACAGTCAATTAGAAAACACATAAAAACTCTGGCGCTTATTATACAAGCGAATGGGTTTTGGCATCGATTCACACATATATTAAATGCTCAACAAATTTGTTAATACATGGCATAGGATTGTGTTTTGTGTATTGAATCGGAGGGTTGTCTGGCGTATGAATTGCCAATATTTTGATTTGTTGCATAAAATGAAATAGTTTGATTTTATGGGAGCGGGACTGGGATTTACCCCAATAACGCTAATCCCAGTCCCGATGGGAAAGGTCGGTCATAGTGACCATCTATGGATATGTAGAAACTCAGTGTTTATATATATTTGGGATTGTCTTTTGGCTGTAATCCACGATAATATCAAATGTATGCCATATAGCAGTGCCGTATCATTGAGTGTACGCATACACGCATACACTGGCACATTGCCCCACTCTTGGCACTGGTGGGCGTAAATGGTGCAGGGTGGCCAAATGGTCTTTAAATACTGGCTTAGAGACACTGCACTGGAATGTCCACCAAAATAAACGAGGTGACAATTTGAGGTTATATGTATTTCATGTTTTAAAATGTGGTTAAATTTGAGTCAATATTCAGATAAATCTCTTTGTTTTTCTAAAACCCATTCGAGAGAGAGAGAGAGAGAGAGAGAGAGAGAGAGAGATGACAAAATAAAAGCAATAATTAATTTATTCGATGAAAGGATGGACGACATCAACAATCATTTACTAAACATTTTTCTGACACTAAATAGACTTTTTGGTGACAAATAAATTGAGATAAATGTAAATGTTTTGCCATATATTCAGTGATCAATGAATGAAATTCTCGTTTACACGATAACCATATAAAGTATACACTGTATCTACTGATAAAAATTTCTACAAATAGTAGTAAACATAATGTCACTGAATTTGATGATAATTTATAATCTATTAACTAATATATATCTAAAGATTTACATTAAAAACAAAAATATTTATCACAACTATTTCGCGACTAAAAACCTCTCTAATCGCTAATGAGATACTAATTCTGTGCGAAAACAAAGATATTTTAAAACATTTAGTGTTTTTCGTCATTACATTTGCGTAAGAATTGCCCAAAAAAATGTCAAAAATAAAATTCCTTTACATTTATAAATACAAAGTTGCCATTCATTTGAGCACAAAATTTAAATGTGAATTATGGCTGAAATTAAAAATAAAATCAAAACCCTTTGAATACTTGTAAATACCGACAACAAAACATTTATAAACGTCTAATGTTTTGACAGAGTTTTAATGTATTTATAAATAAATATAGTTTTTTATGCATTACTTTTAACATTAAAAGTATTATAACTTTTTGCCAAATATCTATTTGGAGACTAGAATTCTCCGACTATTAGGCATCAGATTGTATATGAAATTCAAAACAAAAGAGACTGAAATATTCTGTAGGAATATTCCGATCGAGTCCTTGTAATTGAGAGGTTATATAATGGCTATAATTAAATATTTTATTTCTGGCGATAGACTATACAATGTATTCATTTAATTGGTATTACAATTTATTTCAATATTTAATTATCAATTTCATAATATAATATCCTTTTTAATAATAATCAGAAACCAATACTCGATTGAATATATGATATATTGATTCCTAGAAATAAAGAGAGAGAGAGAGAGAGAGAGAGAGAGAGCCGGAAAAGTACAGACAACATTATC